TCCTGGAGGAGCGCACTGCCCAGCTCCTTCAGATGAGTCAAACCTCCAATGGGTTGGAGTCCTCCTCTTCCGCTGCCAGTGACAGACTATACTTCCTAATGGAGGACCTTCACTGGATCCTGCTAATCTGTGGCCACATCCTGGTCTGCGGTCCCTCGCAACTGGGCTCCTCCAAGGGCGGTCTTTCCTCCTGGGATTCTGATTTCATGGTGAGTCTGCCAGTCTCTCGCTTCGGACGATATTTTTAAACTCAAGATACCCTTATTTTCCCACCAACTAGGGTAAATTAAAAGCTTTTACCAGGCGACTGGATACAGTAAATCGCATATAACTCATGAAATATGGAGGTCAACCTTTGAATGGGGGATTTATTTTCTTCACTGAGTTGACTTGAGGTGCAAAATGCAAAAAGAGTTCAGTTCAGATCAGTCTACAGAGGGTAAAAAGGGGCGGAATGGGGCCAAATCCAGCGTTCGTTGCTATCCAAGGAATTTCCTACGCTATTAAACGCTGCGGAAAAAAAACTCCTTGTTTTTGCATGTTGTACTATAAAAGAAAATTAATAAAGACCAGAAACTGATATTTTTTCAGAGAACGGACAATGCTGTTTTGCTTTCATGAAATAGAGGTAAGTGCGGCTATGAGATAACGCAATATTGTTGGGAAATGAACAAGGAATTAAGTTTAAAAAATTCAATTTCACAAATCTACTAAGTTTTGTGCCATAAAATTGCGTAATAAACTTATAAGACTGTAATTTGCTTTACCACACTAAAAATCACGGCCGTAAACAAGCATATATACAAACTTTCGAGACACCCGCCGTCAATTTTCTCTGTCAAATCGAAAGCAAACGATGTCCAGAAATTTTCTATCTATAGAGCACAATCAGTGAATAGAAGAACTTGAAACGGAACAGGCAGAAGGTTTTCTGCCATTCTGCTTTTGTTATAGTTCAGTATAGTTCAGTACATTTAGGGTAGTAGGCAATGTCTTCGAAGACCCTATTGAAAACCGTATCCATAAAATATCCAATATAAAACATGTTACTATAAAATAGCGAGTAACATATATACATGTACAAATTTTCGCTG